AGATGACTTCACTGGTGAATTCTACCAAACATTTAAAGAATTAACACTGATTCTTCTCAAACTCTTCCAAAACATAAGAGGGAACACTTCCTAACTCATTCTGTGAGGCCAGCACTACCCCAATACCAAAGCCAGCTAATAACATCACAAGAAAATTACAGACCAATATCCCTCATGAATATAGAAACAAGAATCCTCAACAAAATACTAGTGAATTGAATCCAACAGCATATTAAAAAGATTATATGCCATAACCAAGTGGGATTTATACCAGGAATGCAAGAGTGGTTCAACATAAGAAAATCAATCAATTTACGCATTAATAGAAGGAAGGAAAAACCACATGATCATCTCAATTGATGCATAAAAAGTATTTCAGAAAAACTAACACTCTGTTATAATAAAAACACTCAGAAAACTAGGAATAGCTTCCAGTTCTCTGACATCTTACTACTCCCTCCCTTCCTATTCACTCTGAACCTATCTCATTATTCTCCTTACTGTTCTTAGAACATGCCAGGTACATATCTCAGGGCCTTTGCACTTGCTGTTCCCTCCATCTTGAACACTCTTCTTGCAGACATCAGCCTGACTGACTTCCTTCAGGTTTTTTCAAGTCACCTTCTCAGTGAGACCTTCCCTGTTTATCCTAACTAAAATTTCACACTCATAGGCCCAGAATTTCATATTCTCCTTCCCATTTTTTTTCTCATTATCACCAAGATACTATGTATTTTTCACTTATATTTATTGCCATTTAGAATGTAATCCACATAGGGCAGGGTTTGTTTTTTCGCCCACTATTTTGTTCACTGGTATATCCCTAATGGTTCAACAGTGCCTGGAACATAACAACTGCTCAATAAATATAGATCCACTGATTTAATTACTTAACCATATATAGTTTGAGGCTGAACCACAACGTAGATGGTAGCCTCAGGAAGACTGTGTGGAGTGAGAAGGGATGCGGGTTGAGCACAGACCCTGGTGAACTCTACCATGCAAAAGAGCAGTTGATCCTGTGGAGAACCAAAGAGGACGCTACTGACTTGAATATGAGAGTGAATCTCACTAAGATTGTCAATGATCTCACTAAACTCTTTCTGACAAACTTGCACATGATGGCTTGAGGTTCAATTCAAGGGCATAAGAGAAGACCTGAGACAGCTCAGCGCCTCTCACTTTAGGCTGAACGAGTTTTTTAGAATGATTCCCTAGAAAATTGCATTTCAAGGACTCTCTGAGAGTCACGTTGTGGGGGATTACAAAGGAACCCTCACATTGTGTGATGGCACACACCTGGAACGCCTGTCAGGTATTATATAAGAAATTTGGTAACTTCAAAAAAATAAAATGTGAATCCTTGCCTATACAGAGGGTCCTTAAGCAATGCGAATAATCCACAGTACGTAACTAAGGGTGAGTGCTAAGCAAACGTGTTCCTCCCGAATGCTAGAGGAGCCAGCAGCCGGCCAGGATGAGCCTCATTAAAGAGACCTGGGCAGTCTTGCTGAAGGCGGCAGAATTCAAGCTGGGCTTTGAGGAAGCAGTGAGACTTTCAAAGGCAGAGCATGAAGTGTGTGTGTGGTGGGGGAGACAGGCAGTGGGTCAGGGTAGTGAAATGGGTCATGAATTTAGAAATCTAGGTTGAAGCTTTGGCTAAGACCCCTGAAAGCCAGATTCACATTACAGTATTAGGCAACCATTGAAGATGTTTGAGAAAAGGACATAAGGAGATGAGACTGGCATCAAAAAAGAAATGTCAAATATATTTTCCTGTTCTAATGGACCAACATAACTCCAAATATTTTGTAAATGTATTAATTCATTTTGCCACTTCCAATGGCTTAAAACTTTTCAATGGCCTCTCATTGGTCTTCGAATAAAGAGCCAAACCTTTATCATAACCTGCAAGATCCACATAATTCTCTCCCTACTTTCTGCTCCCACTATGCTCACTGCTCTTGCTCTCCGTGCTGCTGTCACACTGGCCTACTCAGAGTTCCCCTCCCACCATAGGGCTTTTGTACCTGCTGTCCATCTGCCTGGATAGCTGCCCCCTCCTCTTCGCCTAGTTAAATCCTCTTCCTTCAGATCATAGCTCAAGCATTCCTTCCTGAGGGAAACTCCCCAACGTCCCCATTGACATGCTCTCAGGGCACCATGGACTTCTCCATCCCCACACCCAGCACTGAATACAGTTGCTTGTGATCTTTGATTGACGTATCTCCTTTACCAAGCTGCAGCTCCATCAGGGTAGGGGCTTCCCCTCCTGGCTGACAGCTGTATCTCCAATGTCTGCACATAGAAAGCACCCAATAACTATTTACTGGAAGGAAGAGAAAGAAGAGTCAGGACGCTAGAAAGAACCAGTCAGGAGAAACGCTGCTTATCTAGCAGTCTGTTTTAAAAGCAGGAATTAGATAATGAAGCTTTATAACTCACTCCATCCATCTTCTGCCATTGTAAGCCTCTCAGAGCTTGTCCAAGCTCCTGCGGCCTGACAGGATTCAAACCCAGGCTTGTCTGGTTAAAAAAAAAAAAAAGAAAAAAAATCAAGCACGTGTTTTCAGCTACAGTGTGTATGTGTGAGCGAGGAAGCGGGAAGGCAGCGGAGCGAGCTTTCTCACAAGTACAGATCTGGTCCTATTGTGTTTCGATTCTTCTTTTTTCAATATATAGGTCATCAAGCCTCGCTTACTTAAAGGGAACCTGCGAGCAGAGGCAGCAGAATCTTTTTTCACTGTCCTTTCTTGGAAAGGCCTTGCTTTTTGGTGCTTTTTCACTCCACTTCCTCTTATCTGGGATTTGTGACACATAATTGAACTCAAAAAACAAACCTGAATTGAGCACCTGTGTGTGAAGGCACCTAAGGCTGGCGAAGAGATCATGTTCTAGACCAACGCCAAGTTCCTCTGTCCTCCCAAAGGCCAGTCCTGCAGCACACACACACTCCCCTCTATAGAAAGTAGCAACCCAGGGCTCAGCACGATGCCTATTAGCATTAAATCTGTGAGTTTCGTACATCATTTGTCTCTGTGCCCTCAGTTTTCTATTTATAAAGTGGAAGTGGTATAAATACTAGACTCAAGAAATGGAGTGCCTAAGCCTGCCTGGCATCTTTACATGCACTATTTCATCTAGGACTCACAATAATCCCACGGGGTCAGAAACACTCACTTCCTATTATGGGGAGTGTGACTTGCTAAAGCTCCTTTCACCTGCAGCTAGAGGAGCCTGGGACTCAACTGCAGACCACCTGACCACTACTTCCTTTGTATTATGTCTCTTATCGCAGTAGCTGAGAGAACCTCACGAGAAATGTATTTAGAAGCATTTTCAACAGTAAAGCTCTATACACGTAGTTTTAAGAATGTTAAGCAATTTGTTACATTAGAGAGGAAGAACTAGAACCTGATTAAGATTTTAAGGGTGATGAACTAATTACCAGAGAATAGCTTTTCTCTTAATAGTAGTAGTATTTCCTGCATTTTAAAAGTTCTTAATTTAAATAATAAAATAGAAAACAATTCAATGGAAAACTGGGCAAAGGACATTTCTCCAAAGATATTTGAATGGCCAATAAGTACATGAAAAGAGGGTCATCATTAGCCATCAGGGAAATGTAAATCAGAATCACAATGAGGTACCACTTCACACAAGAGGATGGCTATGATTAAAAAGGCAAATAACGTTGGTGAGGATGTAGAGCAATAGGAACTCTTAGACTGCTGGTGAGAATGTAAAATGTGCAGATGCTGTGGAGAACAGTTTGGCAGGTCCTCAAATTGTTAAACATCGTTACCATATGCCCCAGCAATTGCACTCCTAGACATATACCCCCCAAACTTGAAAACATATATAAAACTTCCACACGAATGTTCATTTCAGCATTATTCATAATAGCCAAAATATGGAAACAATCCAAATGTCTATCAACTGATGAATGGATAAATAAAATGCGATGCAATATCACTGAGCCATACACAGGAATGGAGCACTGATACATGCTACGACACAGATGAAGCTTGAAAACACTATGCTAAGCAAAAGAAGCCAGTCACAAAAGACCATATATTGTATGATTCTATTTATATGAAATGTCCAGAATAGGCAAATCCCTGGAGACAGAAAATAGTTTAGTGGTTGCCTAGGGCTGGGGTGCTGGTGGAGGGGGTTCAGGGGTGACGGCTAAGAGGTACAGGGTTTCTTTTTGGGGTTATGCAAATATTCTAAAATTGATCGTAGTGATGGTTGCCCAACTCTGTGAATATACTAAAAACCACTGACTGTACACTTTAAATGGGTGAATTGTATGGCATGCGAATTAATCTCACATGTGAATTAAAAGCTGTTCTCTTTTTTAAAGTTCTGTAAGTTCACCATAAACTGCATCTGCATTATGAAGTATTTATCAAAGTTTACTTTAAACCACATGGGTTTTTCTTATAACTGCCTATAAGTTGTTAGGATTCTAATAATTTTGTAGCATTTGCATCAAAATCTCTGACTATGTTTCACAGTGATGACTTAAAATTACATTTAATTTATAGACAAACATATGAAATACTAACAGACCTAATGCTAAGCATTTCAGTAAAAGGATGGATGGAGAGCCATATGACATCACTATCCAACCGCTTAATCAAGAAACCTTAGAGTCACTCATTTCCTCCTTTCATCAGCAGGAAGCCCTGTTAGTAAACTCCATAAATAGAGAATTTTGTTTATTCACTACGGTATCCCTGGTGCTTAGCATAGTACCTGACATATAGAAGATGCTTAATTAATATTTGTTGAATAAATAAAATTCATGTTCTTCTTGAAATTAACACCTTTAAAAGAAAAAGAAATTTAAACCCCCCACTTCATAATTTGTTAAATATACATATTAATTTTTAAAAATGTAGACTATGGAAATTTCCTTTGCCATTCTGGTTGCTGAAACATATTAAGGCCAAATTCTCAATGGGACACAGGTAGGCTACGCTGCCAGGATATGGAGAAACAGAACGTAATAACTTTATTCAAGTTTGCTGTTGTTACCTGATCCATGAATATTTAAAAGATACTTTATTTTATAAAAACTTACATCTGTAAGTAATGGATTGACCGTAACAGAGGGCTTAACCTGGAATACATGGATAGGCTGAGGGTCCCATGAAACCCTAAAATTGTATGCAAAATCTAACATATATTGGCATGTGTATCTTTTTGGTAAGAGAGTTCATAGTGTAATCAGATTTTCAAAGAAGTCTCTGACCCGAGAGGTTAAAAAATTACTTAACTAGAAACAGTCACGAAGTCTTTTAAACATGAATTTGTACAATAAAATAACATCCAACAGCTCCATCTATGGGTAAGTCATTATCACCTAGTAGAAATAATGACAAGTACCAGAGACCAGTGCATCTTATGAATGCTTGTGTTTAAATCTTCAGTGTCACTCTAGTGGGAATTTATTAACTACAGTATCACAGTTTTTTTTTCCAGATATGAATGCAAAAATTAGGAGACTGTTGATGAATTCTACTTACAGTACTTCAGCACCAAAAAATTGGGCAGTTACGCTGAATACGTATGTACAGTTCAACATTTGTCAGTCTTAAAATGCTTATTTATAGTGAAATCTATATAAAACCGTTAAAAAGTTTTCTATTTACATTTTTTTAAAAATGAAAAGTATAGTTTCCTTTGCCACAACTTGTCAAAAGTGACTCTCACCCTCCCACCCTCTTATCCTTCACTCTATTTGTGACAGACAGTGATCACAAGACCCAAACATATTGCTTAAATAAACTGTGTCCTAAAAAGGCAGAATGCTTAAAAACATTACATTTAGAACTGTAAATGAACTTTTTATACATTTCAAAGGGGGTTAAACAAAAGTATGTAAAAGTTATTTTCAAAGTCTCAATCCAACATGAATGTGCAAGTTCAATGTGAATAATTTCTTTTCCTGAACATAACTGAATATTTCCTTTGGGCCAGAAAATGTTTCTTTTCCTCTGCTTCACAATGAAACATTTTCTCATAAGTTTTCTTAAAGGAGCGGAGGAGACAGTGGGAGGTGGAAAGGGTAGGCAATCCTGGTTTACAGGAAATTTGTCAGAAGGAATACGGCCGACTTTGAAATGTTTACATTTAAATAAATAGAAGGCAAATGCGCTGCCTATAGCACAGAGAAACAACAACACAATAAATTAGCATACAATTGGTGAGAATGTACAAGCCACCCAGAAAGCACTTCCCACTGGTTAGGGATCTGATTTCCACCATCCAATTAGGATTCTTTAATGCCAGTATTTTTCAAGTTATTTTATAAACTATGAACCGAGCAAATGTAAAATGTTAACCAATTCAACACTTCCAGGGATTTGCAAAAACATACAAGATTTTTTAAAAAACTGTTCCTGACACACTGTTTCAAAATACAAACTATTCACATTCTCCTTTTTTGATGGTGTTTTGCTCAGTAGAAACCAGTTGAAGAACATTCAAAGGAAAAGTCTTTCTCTACTGCAAGATAAACTTTTCCATCAGCCATGGTCCAACAGAGAAAGAACATCAGGTCTTATGTCACTGTAGATGTGCATCTTTTTCTTTTTTTTCTTTTTTCTTTTTTTAAAAAAGTACATTCCCCTGTGAGTTTTATCTCGTCTTAAAATGCTGCTCCAGCAGCAATTCTTGTTGAAACACTGCTGTTTCAGGGTCCGTAGCCTAAGCATGGGCAAAGTGCTCTCTTTAGACATCAAAATGCAGGGCTTCCCTGGACACTTGGTAACCAAGTAGGTTTTAAAGTGCACTCCTGTGTCCAAAACACTAGGACCGTTCAGCAGAACTCTGAGAGGGGCTGGGCTCAGTTCCATCCTCTGTGCTACTGTCTATGTCCTGCTCCATTGCCGTCTCATCGTCATCCAACTGCTGACTGGTGAAGTTGTTTAGCTCAAGGAGCCCGCTGGGCTCTACTACCACGTTGGAGCTGGAGTGACAAGGAATGGCATACTGGGGAATGGCCTGCAAGAAAGACACAGGAGAGAAGCTTCACGGTAAGGTAAGAGAAAAGGTAACAGAAGGATCTCCCCAACAACACTAAGGAAGGACAAAGGGAAACTGACGTTTCGTGGACAACTACTACCACTAGGCACTGTGCTGGGTGCTTGCTTTCACATATGGTAGTCCTCTAAATCCCCATAACAACCCTGTAAGGAAAATAATATTTCCCATTTTACAAATGAGGAAACTAAGAGGGTAAGTGACTTAATCAAGGTCATACAGTTGGTCAGGGTTAATGCCAGGATTCAAATTCAAGTCCTGTACAACTCAAAGTGATCCTTCCACTCCCTGATGGTGCCTCTTCTAACAAAAAAGGTTAAGGTCTGTGCCTAATTCAAGAGAGAGACTTGAAGGACGTTTTCATTTGATCATTAAGCAAATTTTAAATGTAAATATAGTCAGATTTCGCTCATTATCATCTGCAAGATGAATGATTAATTTGCTGATACCATAATATATTTTAAGCCCTTTGGTAACCCTTTGGTAGTTCAAAGGGGAAGCTACCTGTTTGGGTCACACACTAACAATCTTTACTGAAATTGAAAGTAGAGAAGACAAAACTATCTTTTAAGTAATAAAAATATCAGCAGATAAACACATACTCTGGCCATATTGCCTTGTCAGATTCTTTTTTCTCACCGTTATTAGACATCTTTTTAAAAGGTTTATCAGTTCACATCACAGCCCTGCTTAAAACTCTACAATTGTTTCCTATTATACTTGCTATAACACTGAACTCCTTACCACGGCTCCAGCCTATGCCAAACTCAACAGACCTTGGGGCCTTCGTACTAATTATTCCCGTCTTCCTGGAATACTCTTCCTCCAAATCTCTGCATGGCTGGTTCCATCCTGTCATCTGCATTTTAGCTCAAATGCTCAGGGTAAATGGCTTCAAGAAGCCTTCCCTCTATGACCATGAAACCAGAGTACTGGCTTGGTCCCACTGCTCGCTCTGTCAGGTGCTGCTACATTTTGTTCATTGCATTTAGCATCTGTTTCTTAAATTTTTTTCTTACCCTTAGAATGTAAGCTCCATGAGAGTATGGAGCAGAACATAGATCTTGACTATCTTTTCCACAGCTAGATGCCCAGAGCTTTGAACAGGGCCTGGCACACATTATATGCTCCACAAGCATTTGCCAAATGAATAATGCATCTCTGACATTAAAAACCCCAGATTAAAGTTGAATACCAGCACTTTGCAAATATACTTAACCAAAACAACCTTCTACTGGGAGAGATGTAAATTTGATTTTAACACTATCAAGAAAATACTGCAAGATACCTAGGCATTGATTCTAGGGTGGTGGAGTTTTTCGTTTGTTTGTTTGCGTCCCCTCCACCCCTACCCCATTCCATATAGCTGATTATTGTGAAAAAGTCTCAGGTGGGGTCAGCAAACCTAGATCTGGCTCTGACTTGCTGTGGATCTCTGAATAAGTCACTTCACTTTCTTGAGCTTTAGTTTAATCTTGTGTAAAATAAGATAGTTGGAAAAGATATGTTCTAAAGATCCTTGTGGTTCTAAAATGCAATGAATTCCACATATGTAGTTTCCCTCAGAATAGAAGATATTCGTCTTGTCTACTCCTCTATCCTCAGCACCTAGCACAGTGCCCGAAACACAGAGATTAAATAATACATGTGGAATGAATGAATGAACACATAAACAAAACACAGATAATCTGTCTACAGAGAATGCTTTTCATTCAAAGCATTTACTATCAAACACGCTGACTTTTTACAGAACGTTGTTCAACGAATCAAAGCACTTCTGCAGACTTCCTTCACTCACCCTCATAGGGATTTTACCGAATCAGAAAAATCAATAGTTCAGGTCAAAGCTAACCATAACTAATAATAAGAAATGAAAATGTTCTAACAGTTTATTAATTAATGATTATATTAATAGGAGCTATCTTTATTGAGTATCATTCTGTATCAGACACGTTTAACCAGCTGCTTTGTATATATTTTCTCACTTAATCCTCAGCAACTCTGTGAGGTAAGTGTTATTGTTTCCACTTCATAGGTAATGAAACTGAGGTACAGAGGTTAAGTCTGTTGCTCAAAGCCACAATGCTGGTACAGGTAAGATTCAAATCTAGGTATTTACGACTCCAAAAGCTAGGTGCTTCATCATTATGCTGCCCTTTCCTCTGACACAGCAACAGAGCATATGGTACATGTGAAAAGTTAGCTGAGTATTCTACAGAGAACCTACCCATTAGCTATCATCTTTGATACATGAAACAAATTACATTTTCACCGCTGTTCATAAAGTACAGAAAAAATTTCCAAATAAGTTATCCAATTATTTTCAATTTAATGAGCATGCCAATTTAAACCCCCAGGAACCATCATAAATTTTAGTAAAAATAGTTCATAGTGGGGCCGGCCTGGTGGCGTAGCAGTTAAGTGTGCTCGGTGGCCCAGGGTTCACCAGTTCGGATCCCGGGTGCAGACATGGCACCGCTTGGCAAAAGCCATGCTGTGGTAGGCGTCTCACGTATAAAGTAGAGGAAGATGGGTATGGATGTTAGCTCAGGGCCAGTCTTCCTCAGCAAAAAGAGGAGGACTGGCAGTAGTTAGCTCTGGGCTAATCTTTCTCAAAAAAAAAAAAAGTTAACAGCTACCACTTATTGGGCAATCACTAAGAGCCAAGTACTGGGCTAGGTACTTCATCCCAATTTTGTGTAATCCTTACATCAATCATGTAAAGTAGGCATTGTTTATTCCCATTTTACTGATGAGGAAACTAAGGCACAGTCAGGTTAAGCTGCCTTGATCAAAGTCACACAGTGAATGGCAAAGCCAGGAAACCATTCCTTTTCCACCATACCCTAACTCTTAGGGGGAAAAAACCCATAACAAATCCTTTTGTCAAGGATTATTTAATTTACTAACATTTGTTTTTACAAGGAAGAACAAATTATGTCAATAATTCAATGGCCAGTTCTATTTGCCTTTAAACATTTCTCCCATACATATATTGTATTCGGATTTATATTGACCAACTTTCATTCTTTCTCTGGAAAAGGGAAAGTCTACCACAGGAACTTTCAAGTCCCAGAGTAGTGAATCTGTGGTAAATCCTAGATTATCCACATTTCAATAAATCCAAATTCCCAATTAACTAAAATGAGCTGCTCTGATACTGTCCAAGCCATACAGCTGTTTAGCAAAAAATGACAAATGTCAAGAAAACAACCTGGTACCCGGCAAGGAGAGAGGGAAATAAAACACAACTTCTAAGGGCTAGTCCTAGTAATTCTTCCGTCTTGATCTATTGTGCATGATGACAGGTGAGTTTTAGAATGAAGGAGACAGGAGGCAGAGGAAGACCTGCTGTCAATGAAGAGTCCCTTATGTTCACTAGCCTGTACTTACCAAGGCAGAACAGTAACCACAACAAGATTTTCCAATAACAATAATTGAAATAAAAAGCAAAGCTTTATGGTTAATCCCAAGTTAAACATAAAATTAAATTACTTAGAAACAATCTCTTACAACATGTTTCTGCAGACATTTCAGTTAATTAAGGTTTTTTTGTCCTGAAAACCATAAATTTGGATCAAGAACTGTTTTTCCCAAGAAAACAGTCCCTGAAATTAACTTGAAATAAAAGTGCAACCCAGTTATATCTCAGGAGTTTTTGAGCAAAGATTGGGGAGCCCCAAGTTTGACCCCAAGAAGTTGTTCATCTTCTGGGCTGACTTGCTGAGTTAGCACTGGCAAGTATGGCTTGCATCTATAACCCAAGCTGACGAACGGGCTCAGGGCCCTTGATTGCCTCTAAGGTGTGCTGTGTGACAATATCCACGAATTTTCTAGGACTCTATTTCCAGAAAATAAATATAAATTTGAATTATTTGTAATAGGTATTAAGCCAAATTTGTCAAATTCCATCTCAAAGATAATCTCAGTCTTTTTGCCATTTTGGCTTGAGTCTTCCTGTGACATCCCCAAACACACCAAACTCACAACCCCCAAGATGCCCAAGATTTTTCATGTTCCTTCCAATTCTTACCTGGATGATAATTTCTGCTGGGCTCTCTTCAGCTTTCTTTTGGCCTATATTCTGAATACGCATGAACTGGCCTGTTGTAGGCACTCCTGGAGCATCGATTTTCCTTGTTGTTAGGGGAGGGCCAACAGCAGATGGACTTGAACAGGACTCTCTACATTTCTGTTGCTGGGGAGTCGAATTCGCCATCCCTGCCACCATCACGTGGGTGGAAGGTAATGATCCTGCATCACCAGTGAGCATACTAGTGGCAAGAGCCTTCTTTGGGGGATCCACTACCATATGCTCTACATTTGTATCAATCTGAGCTTCCATCAAAGACATTTTCAAAATGTCTGACACTGCTGTCTTCTCAGAGGCCTGAATGGGAGATATGCTTGTAACTGGTGATGTCAGCTTAGGCACAGAACTGCCACCAGTTATCTTTGTAACTGTAGGAGGCTGGCGCCCCTCAAAAGTTATCTTTGTAACAGAGGATCCTTGGGTTATAATTGGCTGCTCCACCTGAAAACAAATTGGGGTTGTGTGTGTTACAGCTACATTTCTTTGAGAAAACCTATCCAACACCCCAGACAATATGGCAAAAGAAACATTCGTGCTGTATACTAGGAAGACATTTTGAAGCTCGATGTTTTAATAAGAAGGCTGGATGGGAAAGTATCTGGTTACTTTTAAGGAACCTAGAGAAAAAGGAAGGGTTGAAAGAACCTTTGTTCAGCCAGCCAAGGTTCATAGCAGTAAAAGAAAAAAAAAAGTCACAGCAGCCTTGTTTTCCTTTGGGATTTACATCCCCACACAGTACGCTTTCAACCCGTCTCAAATTATTTCACATAATCTTCAGCTTTTTAAAATAAAAAGCAGGTTTTTTTTCAATCTTTTGCTTCAAAATACATTTATACAAACATATTCTATATATATGTATTTATAATATACACATACACATATATCACTCCAAAGCCACTGATTTTCGCTAAGATAATTTTTCTTTCAAATATTCACAGATAATTCCTCGGCAATCTAGAAGATAAATTTATTAACTAGATGGTGATGATGTAAACTACAAAGGAAAATGTTCAATAAAGCTCCTTAAAAGACTGTAGTTTACTTAGCATTACTGCCACAGAAATAAGAGTTTACAGGCATGGAAATAAATACCTTATACGTAAAAAATAAAAATAATTTAGGGGTATAGCTTCTATGCACTGTTGATCAATGCTCAAGTGATTTCATTAAAAACTGCCTGGAAAATCAAGTTCTGAGTGCTATGTTTTTTTTCTTCCTAAATTAATGTGTGCATTTCTTTCCTAATGTCAACCTTCTCAAGGGGTAAAGTAATATCAGCGTAATGAGGCTTTTGAGTTTCCTCTTGCCAGGAGAAAGCACTGCTAATCACGATAGGGTCGTGATGTTCTCATTTTTTCCGTGAACAGAGAAGTTTAACTTTGCATGCTATCAATATTCCGTTACCTGGCTTGCCGGCTGTTTCTCAGACGAGGCTGGGAGCGGCATTTGGCTCTGGGGGGTTTGGGGTTGCACGTAGATTTTTGGTTGGTTCGGAGCCTGCTGCAGTTTAGGGAGCTGCTGCGTCGTTTTCACTGCAAGCACCTGTACTACAGTTTGCGGGGGCTGTGCCATTAAGGTAGGAAGCTGCCTGTCTTTGGCCACCATGGGATGCTGTGTGTGCTGTACATCTGGCTTGGGCTGTGCTTGTTCTTGCTGGAGAGGGGTGAGTTTCTGATGCCTGATGGAAAGCTGGGGCATTTGCGGGAGTTTGTGCTGGAGCTGGTCTGCCTGCAGGTGGATGGTCTGCTTCTGTTTAGCCTGGAAGCACTGCAGAGTTTTCACTTGCAGCTGAGTCTGTTCCAGCTGGGGCTGGCTAAGTTTCTGCTGTTTAGCTGACTGTGACTGAGTCAGGGCAGATCGGTAAAACAGACCTGTCTGAGGGTCTAAAGTGTCCATCTCTTCAACCTCGCCTTCCTCAGTTCCAAGTTCCTCGCTGTGTTTGGTAAAAGCAGTGTGACTGCTTAATGCCTAAGTAAAAAAGGTACAAAGTAAGAATGAAATAAGAAAAACACCTACATTGCTACATTTTCCTCAAACTGGAAAAGATTTGGTTATAAGATTTATTCAAAAATTTTCAGAATGAAGAGCCCAAAAAGACAAGAAACCTCAAGGTTTCTAAATCTAAAGGTGGCTTTAGATTGAGACTCTTGTAATTTCAACTATCAGACATTAAGTACTGCAAAAACTGGTCTACTCACTTCTCTATAAAAAGTCCTAGAGGGCCCAGGACTTATAAGAATAAGGTTGCCCTGTAAGCACAGCCCATCACAGAAAAAGAAAAGGCTCCCTGGCTCAGGACACAGCTCTCTAGCCTGGTCATCACAGATGTTAACCCAGCCAAAGAAAGAATGCAGTAACCAAGGAGTGAGGTGTCCAGAGCAGAGCCAAGGTCCAGAGAAGCCCACTTTGGCTGTGTGCACATCCAACACTGTCCAGAAGGGAAGAACTGTCTGAGGGACGTGCCCATCCCAGTCCCCAGAGGGCTTCTCTGCGGAGTGGAGACAGTCCATCAGGTTTCACCAAGGTCTGCGTGAACAGCCCTCTGCACAAGCCCTCCTTGCCCCTTTGCTCAGACTCCAGGCCCTCCAGGCCCCAGCTTCCCAGAGACCCAGCTCCCAGGAGGGAAGGAGACGGGGGAGGGGACAAGAGCACTCCTGTCAGCAGAAAGGGAGCCGGCCCGGGGTTGCTTACAACAGTGCTGGGAGGAGGCATTGACCTTGAGCGACACGGTTAGGGCCAGCCTGTCTGACCTTCCTAGGCATCTTGAGAAAGGTCAACATCAGGACTGCTCAGATGAGGGCCAGACTCCAGGCTGAGATCTGACACCTAGCAAAATCTCTGGCCATCTGGCTTCCCTCAGTAACACAAGACCCACCCCAACCTCATCCTTCCCACTGCCTTGTCATATGCTACACCTCTACTCTAAACTTTAAAACTTTGAGATTCAATATCCCTTACACATGCCGGTTTTTAATTTAACAGTTCCTTCATTGCCTTTTAGGTAGTTTGCCTACAATTAGGGTCAACCAGTCAAGTGATGGTGATTTATGTGACTACTCATGATAAGTCATGCTTAAATCTGATATCTATGATATCACTTTATAATAGAGGCAGGATGCTTTGGGTTTAAATCCTGGCTCTGCCACCCAGGATAAGTTACTTAACTTTTGTGAGCATAAGTTTCCTCATTGGTAAGAGGGATAATACACCCACCTTGCAGGATCATAGTGAAAATCAAACAAGTTAATGTATTTAAAACTCAAAGCACAGTATCTGACACAAAACCAACTTAACATATTTCTTCCTTTTCCCCATCACCCTTGATACCAGATTTTCTGTTTTATATTAATTCATTCTCCTTCCTGTTGAGTCTCTTCCTCCTTAATTTGTCACATATAGTAAAAAAAAAAAAAAAAAGTCAAATATTTATTTACCTACTTATTCATAATGTTCCCCTGAGGATTTATTCTGAAAGCAAAAAGCAAAACAAACAAAAAACTCAGAAATAAACAGCTAAACAAACCAACTTCCATTTCATTTGAAAATCTTACCTCAGTGATAAATTCTCCCATAACAGTAAAATACTCAGAAACAGTAACCAATTCTGATGTCACAAATTCATCTAGATAGCCCTACCCTGCTGAAACGTTAAGAGTTTACAGAAGAACACTAGTGTTCAAGAACACTATTTCTTAATTACTTTCCAGTGTAAAGACTATCAACTCATTTCCTCTACTCACTCCTCATGGATGAAAGAATTACACACTCTTTTATTCAGTTATTTCCCCTCTTTTACCAGGAGATGAAACTGAACCTTACTTCAGGAAGGAGGCAGTTACAGAAGGCAGGAAGAAAAAAAAGAGATACAACCTGCTGCATAATGTGGGTGATTGCTCCAGGAGAAGACGCCGGGATGGACTTCACCACCACCGAAGTCTGTGTTGCGGTCTGTGACTGAGCCACATGCTGGAGCAGGGTCCGCTGGGGCTGGGAGGGCTGTTGGGGCTGGGAGCGATGGCTGACTGAAAATAGAGGAGGTGATGATATTTCTCCAGAAATCACCACAGCATCTGTAACCAGTAGTCATTTTAAACAAATGTCTGTGAGACTGCATCCCAGAGAAAATGCAGTAATGTGAACTAGGAGGCAGAAGACCAGAGTCTGCCCATCTATGAAGTGTGTGACTCTGAGAAAGCCACTTATCTTCTCTGAGACTCTGTGTCCTCATCTGTAAAATGGGAATAACAGAGCTATTATAAGGATGAGATGAGAAATGTATGTGGAAGCACTGTGAAAACTATTATCACAAAGGAGGAACACACCCCTTCAAGTTACAACCTCCTGCGAGTTACACTCACTTTTCCAATGACCTTTTACCCCAGTAGGGAAAGAAAACAAAATCAGTTTCTGTAATGAACCCAAGACTAATATCTTTAAGGATAGTAAGACAATACAAGTTCTTTAATCTCTTGGTCCGAGTTCCAAATGCAATACAAAACCAGAAGCATACACTCCTTTATATGAAGAGACACTGTTTCTCATTCTTACAGTTCCTAAAGATGTAAGGACTCAAAATGATACTGCAGAAAGAGAATTGGACCAAGAGTCACACCCAGATTCTGTCCCACTCCACCAACAATTAGCCATGAGAATTTGAAGAGGTCACAAACTCTATTAACCTCTAAAACTTAGAGATTTTATTTTGTTTGCTTGATTTTTGGGTTTTTTAAATGAGATGATAAAAATTTCTCTCTCTACCTCGAAGAGGACCAAATGAAGTAGTGGATTGAAATTAGTCCTTAAATTAAGTACTAAAATATAAAGTTAACAAAAGAATAGAAATATCAGTGTTCTTTCATCTTCTCAAATTTAGCTCACCTGACACAAATGGGTGAGAGTACAGTGGAGGAAGAAGTCCACTTCTTATTCTCTTGCTATAAAGGCCCTATGGAATAAACTACACATTTATATTTACATCTATTTATAGATGTATAACTATACATCTACACTGATGCCCATCTATCATCTTTCACCAGCCTCAATTTCAACTTTTTGAACAGTATAAACATTCACCACTTCCTATTCTACAGAGCTTTAAAAACGCTTATGGTTGGGGCCGTCCCAGTGGCACAGCGGTTAAGTTCGCATGTTCCGCTTCTCAGCTGCCTGAGGTTTACTGGTTCAAATCCTGGGTGTGGACATGGCACTGCTTGGCAAAAGCCATACTGTGGCAGGCGTCCTACGTATAAAGCGGAGGAAGATGGGCACGGATGTTAGCTCAGGGCCAGTTTTCCTCAGCAAAAAGAGAAGGATTGGCAGCAGATGTTAGCTCAGGGCTAATCTTCCTCAAAAAAAAAAAAATAAATAAATAAAGCTTATGGTTTCTGAGAAACCAACTTTTTGAATCAGGAACAGAGTAAACCAAATCTACAAAATTAGCTAAGGATTCTGAGAATGTCAAAACTCTTTCAATAATCCATGATTCTAATGCTCATTTATCTTGATCTACAATTTTAAGTAGTAGTGGTTCATACTTAGAAAAGTCATAGTGAGGTGTCCAAGGGTAAGATGATCACTACAGAAATCAAAATAAAAGTGCCATTTATGTATTATATTTGTGTGTCACTTAACGACGGGGATACATTCTGAGAAATGTGCGGTTAGGTGATTTTGTTGTGTAAACATCATAGAGTGTACTTACACAAACCTAGATGGTATAGCCTACTAGACACATAGGCTATATGGTACTAATCTTATGGGACCACCATTGTATATGTGGTCTGTTGTTGACTGAAACGTCATTTGGCACATCACTGTAAAGTACAGAACTTTAAAACTATCCAGTGAAATATAAACAAGCTTTATTTATTTTTATGACACATTCTATCTATATTCACAAATATAGTTTTTCTATTGTTGCTACACATATGCCTACATGTGATATAAGAAATTATAGGCAGCATCATCAGTATTCTTTTAGAAATGGACTACAGTATCTTACTGTACTTTATAGTATGCTTTATATGTATATTTTAAATTATAAGCATTAATAAAATCTTCTATATGTGCTCAACCAAACTGAAAAAAGGGGAGTTAGGGTTTACATTAAAACAACTATTAAAATCATTACAATATGACTGACTAGGAGAAAAGACAAATCATACTAATATTAAAATTAAGCAAGCAAATTAATGAAGTTTTTTATTGATGGAAGCATCATCAGAAATGAATGACATTCGAAAAATTAATAATAAATTTAAAATTTCTGATGAAATTATCAGATTACATGGATATATAACATATGGATACTTCTACTGCCCATACTAATCTTCACAATTATTACATTAAATTTTTAAAATTAAGAAATGAAATGGATGTGATAGAAGACCAACTAAAACCATTTAAAAATCATCCTCATTCAAGATGCTATAAATCTCTTCATAGTAACTCCCCAGAGTGCAGGAAAGTTAGAGAAAAGTAACACCCACTGCAGGATAGTAAAAGAGGCCAGGGCCAAAGCTGGCTTTGAAGTCAAAGAAAATGCTCAATGTGGCTGAGGATATGATGGGAGGAGATTATGGAAGGAGGTCACAGACTGAACATTTGGAAAACAGCTGAAGCGACCTTAACTGGGCCATAAACACCATAGAACACTCACTTCTTTTAACAACTCATATTTTCCAATGTCAAACTGCTCCTTTCTGAGAAGGAATCCCACTATTCTACAAAAGGAAAATCTCTCTCCCTTTCACTGAGTGGAGCTTACCTTTCCTCTACCAGATCAGAGTAGAGCGCATCCATTTAAGTGCTTCCCCCACAAAACAATCCTCTTTTACCTTTAGTTATACTACAAATGGATGCACACCACTTACCTAGAAGGGGAAAAGCAACCTCTGTCCCCTCATCAGTGCGTTCTGAAAAGGATAAGTAAGGGAAGAAGTCATAGGTCTTCTCATCTATTTACCGTTTGATAATCTAGTCTATCCCCAGTTAATACTGATTTCCCCACATACTGCCCTCTGCTTTACTTAGCATTCTGCTAAATATCTCTAAAAAAAGATGTCAAATGGCTTTCCATAATGTTTAACTAGATTTTCCCTTTTAGCAATTTTAACCCATTAATCTTAATAATATCTCCTAAAATGATGCCAAAGAATTCCTTTTCCACTTTGGTATTTACATCCTTCAAATATTTGTAACTTTATGTTCTCTTTCAATCACTGCTTAAGAAAACTTAAGACAGGTGTTCTTTACAGATTGCTTCATAAGTCATCTCTCCTAACCCCTAATTATTCACATTACTACTCTCTGAACTATTTCAAATTTCGAGGTAATGAAGTGTCCAAAACAGAAAGCAGTATTCCAGGTGTGTTCTCACCAGAATATGAGAGAAAGAATCCATTATCCTTCCTGCTCCACTTCTCTATATATGCCATCCAAAAATCTCATTAGTATTTTGCTGCCAGACCACATTTTAAACAAATACCTAATTTGCTTTCCACCAGAACCTCCTAAGTATTTACAGGGATTTAAAGTTTTCCACATTTTTTTCTTTGCATTAAAAAAAGAGTTGGATTTTATATCTTCTTTCTCCCTTGACCCACCTCCCCTCCCCGAAAACTAAAAAATACAGATGCATAAAAATATTTATTCTTATATAAAAGATATTTAACTGTTGCCATATATTCACAGACATTATTTATGGCAAACTTGCAATTTTATATTACTTGCAAACTTTGTAACAACCTATTGATTTTTTTTTCCCTATTCTTAAAGACAAAGTAAATCCCAAGGACAATGAATTTGCTCTTAGAGCAAACTGGAAAAGATCTGGAAATATAAAGAATATCTTCTCCCCCAAAGAACCACCCCAGGAAATCCAGAAAGGTAGCTCTCCTACCTTAATACTACTTTTGTAACAGGACACCTACCAGTAGTGATGTATTCAGCAACTAGTTCTGACTCTACCACAGCAATTGATGGACTCTCAGGAGAATGTCTCTTTTCCTGGGTCATCTGAATAGGCACTGCCATTTGACTCAAGTCAATAGTAGGTTGTCTTGGTTTAGATTCCAATTTTTCCTTTACTGCATAAAAAAGTCAGGGGAAAAGTTAACTTTTATTACAAACAAGTACCAAAACCAGAGTTGTCCATGGGAATAATGAACCAGATCTCTGGGGTGACACACTGGCAGTGACTAAGGAGACAGTAAGTTGAAAAGAAAAAAGCAGACTACTATGTATGGCTGTAGAGTACGCAACTTGTGCAACCATACCCAGCAGCCTAGCAAGAAGGACTCATATGCAGTCAGACTAAAATCTCCCCTATTATCACTAAGCCAAACACCTGGGTCTGCGTCCCTTGTGTGTACTTCCCTTAGATCATTTCCTTTACCCTTCTTCAAAGTAGTCCCTGGTATTCTTGAGTTTACCAACCTGAAAACAAAGGGTGAATAAGCAGGACACAGCATGATTTGCTCTAGGGCATGCCCACCCAGAAAAGCACAACACAGTGACCAGTTTAATATGATCTATTAAAATTCAAGATGATCTCTAAAGAAGTGTTACAATGTCTTCAATGACTCTTAAAGAATAAAAATTTTCAGTGTTAGGAAAAAATGGCCTTTCTGTTCCTGCAAAAATGTCTTATGGAATGGTCTGGAATCGAGAATGGTTTCCATGGATAGATTTACTTTCTATCTTATCACTTTTTCTACAAAATTTACCCATTCGGTTTCCACCCTCTATAAGGCATTAATGGAAATGGCTGAGTATGTTAAAGACAAGGAGCTGAGGAAATGCCTAAGGCCAAAAATAACACCAACAGAAAGATTAACCAAAGACTTACATTGATTACAAGTATTCTTTGGGTAGTGTGGAATAGATATTATAATAAACAGTAACCAGTAATTAAGTCCACTGAATGATCATTCAGATTATTCCCACCAAGCATATAATGTGACAAAAATCAAAATAATCATTTAAACAAAGAAAGCAAAACAAAACCAAAAGAATACTAAAAGTCACCCCACAAGTAGAGAGGACATTGAACTAAGAATCAAAATACGTGGAATCTCACTCTGACACTAACCAATTGGGTAACCTATCTAGATCTCAGTTTGCTTATCCATAAAATGAAAGGGTGGGATGAGATCATCGCTAAGGTCCCTTAAATACTCTGACAAACTTAGAACCTATTATAATAGGAAAGTCAGTACTATAACTAACACGGCTTTGCCCAGAGTTTAGGTAAAGATATTCAGTAACTAGAAATACTGATAGGATCTTGTTAAATGAGTACAGCTTTGCATGGAAGCGCAAGCGGTTAAATTATACAAAGAATATGAAGATAAAATTAGAATGCTAGCAAGGGCCATTAATGATGTTTTATGACCACAAAACTGCCCCACCAAAATCAAGGAGGACGGCAGGGGCCCTTCAATCTGCCTCCCACTATTCTTGAAGAGAACTGGCAACTCTGCTGCATCTATCCTTGTGCTTAGAGTGATAGACTTACTCCTTTCTGGTGACAAGAGGCAAGAGGACTGTCCATTTCAAGTAGGAAACAGAGAAAAAAGAGCTCTGCCATTTTTTTCTTCTTTCTACTGACTATAATCTACCCATCCTTCAGTACTCCTGTGCCTATCTTAATGAACTGACAAGTAAACAGACTGCACCAATGAATACAGACAAGTCCAGAGGGGGGAAATGTGCTCAAATAATAACAAAGAAAATATAACAGTGGTAGTATTTTAGCACAACCCATCTCTAGAGAAAACATGCTTCATTCAAGTGAGCATGTGAATTCATACCTGTTGTCTGTTGGAGTTCTAACAGAGCTTTGATTGTTGAAGTAGCTGATTGTGATTCACTGGATACATCCTGATAAATTATGGTGGGGCTAGTCTCCATTGCAATCTCATGTTCTGACCAATCCTGACGCCGGGAAGCAATTACATGAACTACAGGCTGGGAATCTGTTTTATATTAGTTAAAAAAAAACAAACCCTATAAACAAAGTTTCTCTTAAAAAAAAAACAATTTGTTTTTTTTTTTTAAATCTTTGTATTTACTGTAAACTTCATGCTTTATCTCCCCAAGAAGACTGTAAGCCTCCAGAGGGCATAATGTCTTTTGTGTCTGTATTCACTTATTCATTCATTCATTGATTCAACAAACTGGGCACCTATTGCCAGAGTCTCTATTTGGCATTGAGGATATAAAGGAGCTCACAGAGTAATCAAAGGATGCTCAAGAAGCACACAATCTGGTTGGGGAGACAGACATGTAAAAAGACAAATTACAATTCAATGTGGTAACTGCTATAATATAGGTGTGCATTTGTGTGTGTGCATGTTTTGTATGCAGAAAGAATAAAATGTTGCAGGAGTTTTATTTTCCCCAATGCACCTGGAAATGTATTCTGTATTACAACCTGAGCATTCAGTCCACAGTTATTGGATGGCTGAATTACTGAAAGGAAATCCTGTCCAGTGACAACAAGAGGGATAGATAATCTAGAAGCAGCATGATATAATAGGACACAAATAACATTTGGAGTTCCAAGTCAGGTTACAGTCCCAGCTCTATCAGTTATTAGCAAGTTGATTCTTTGGGTCTTAATATCATTATTCATAAAATGCCAACAATAAAATTACCTCTCTACCTCACAAGATTTCTGAGGATATAATGAAACGATACATGTAAAAGAGCTTTTAAACTATGAAGGACAAGAGAAATGTTGTTGTTGTTGTGGTGGTAGTGGCCTGAAAGTTCCCAATTCTAAGACTTTTTATTAATTTGAAAACAAATTACAGCCCTAATTCAAAGCTTATTATATTCATGCTATACAGGTATGCACGTAAATACTAAATGTGCATCAAATCAAGCAAGAAATTTTTTATTGAATTTTCCATTTACAGAATAAGCAGGTTGGACTAGACTACTGTTAAGTCCCTAAACTCCTTTGTCCAAGACGCTACACAGGAAATCATGTGGGATATAAAGGCATGAACCCTACTCCCAAGTTTAGATTATAGTGGAAGAGACGTAAAATAAAGATACACACATAGCTTTTTATTTGGGGGTAAAATCAAATGATTAGGGCAAATAAGACAAACATAAAGAAAGAAAAACACTGCTTTGAATTGGAATGGTCAGTGAAAGCATCACAGAAGAATGAAAAGCATTCGTGTAGCCCAAAAAACAAGAATAATTACAACATAAGTTCAACCTTCTATAAATCTTATACTTTTGAAAACCACAAACTTGTCCAAAAAGGTTGGGGCAGGGAGAATAACTCTTCAAAAACAACAGCCTTCCCAAAGAAAACAAAATCAATATACAAGAGATCTGAAATTTTAAATTACCATTAAAAAACTGTATCTTCCCCTCAAAAACACTGGGTATAAGGATATATGCCACACCAGGAATGTATAATTTCCATTAAACTTCCAAAAAAATCTAGAAGATTGAAGCACATTATCCTGCAATATCAAATGCCATTTGAAGCATATAACAGTTTTTCTTTACTCACTCTAAGTAGATATATAGAATTCAAACTTAAGAGAACTGATTATATTAGGGAATCATTCTCTCTACATAACCTAAGTTCTCAAATTTAGGAAATTCTCATAATGACACTGCTACCCCCTGGTTAGGTGAGAGGACCTTTAGGTAATGACTGTGCAACCCAACTCTATAAGATATACTGAACATCCAGAAGAAAGTAAGGATTGCATTTGTAGAAAGGTAAGGTAGAAAGAGACTGGAAAAAGAAAACAAATTTCCACATGGGAGCCCTATGAGAGACATCACCCCAAATAACATCACCCTGTAGGGACCGGGCAGATGGCTCACTCTTTCTGCCCATACTCAGAAAGAGTAGCTGACCATCACAAAGTATCACTGCAGCAACGCCAACAGCTGTGACACAGAACAAGAGCATGAACCTACATGTTCCTTGAGTGACTTTCTCTCTACTGCTGGCTTATGCTTAGACTGAAGAAATCTACGGCCTATCAAGTCTGATGCTGGGATCAGAGTACAAGGACTGAGACACAGGAGCCTGATCACAAAGTACCGTTCGATTATGCAGTGTGCATCCACCTAGACATCCCTATCTCTCTTGAGGAAGGTGGATTGCTGATCCTCAGTTATCTTCCCCCACAGGTCATTTAACAAATACTTATTGGACATCTACTACATGTTAGGCAGTAGAGATACACACTGTACTGTTATAGTCAAAGACAGACTGAGGCATCTCTATGGAAGAATATTTCCTGTGTCTTTATTATAAAAGGCCTATATCACACTCTCATAGAACTCTAAGACCTCTCGGCTAGAGAATCTAAAAGCTCGTCTAGCACTATCATCAATCCTATGCTAAAATCTTCACAACAACATTCCTGCTGGTCCAGAAACTCCAGCATCAGAGAACTCACTACTTTCCAAGACAGTTTCCTTCCCTCTCTGCACAGTTATGACAACTGGAAAAATTTCTTATATACACTGGAAATAGGTCTTCCTGTGACTTCTACCCAATGGTTCTAGTTTCCATCCATGTTTCCACAAAGACCAATTCTTTTCCCTCTTTCACATCACAGTCCTCAAGATAACTGACAACAGCTCTCATGTCCCTTCCAACTCAACCCTCATCTCCTCTTCTCCGTAATAAATCTCCTCTCTCCACCAACTATTCCTCGTATAAATGATTCCCAGACGTCTTACAGATCTAAACTATCTCTTTTAAACTAAACCCAAGATGTCTATATCCCTTCTATGATGTAACATGTACCTTCTCCCTGAAGTATTGTCATAAAGCCCAAGGCCTTCACAGTATTTAACTGCCTAGACAGCATTGCCCCAAATATTCCAGAGAACTTTAGCTCCTCAAGATGTTCTGCAAAAGAAGGGTTCCATGTCAAAAAAGCTGGGGAGCATTTACCATTATATACTCCATTCTTCATCTTTCACAATATATATTAGCACATAATGGCTCTGAAAAGTTCTGTAATAAGTATGTTTTGCTCAACCTGGATTCATTCCCCACCCTCACCATGATCTACTGAGATCATGAAACTTCTGGGAAAATCATTCTAGAAACCAAGTTGTGGCCTACTTAAAGCAATGTCTTTAGAGAACGCATTTTTGTATTTGCCTCATGCCTTGATCCATCCTTAAACCCCTACCCTTGGTTTTATCCCCTTATACTCTTCCATTTTACTTCATATAATCTTATATTCTATCTAATCCACCTTAAAACTTTTTAGAAATAAATAGAATATAAATAAATAAACTTTCAATATTTTTCTTTTTTTTAAAATCTGGAACCCAGTAAGGCTAGCCTTTTCCCAAGTGAGAAAGGGAAAAAAAGAAGATCCAATTAGGAAGGAAAGCTCAGGAGCTGTGGAAGGGATATGGCCCAAACTTCAGTAAGTGGCTCAGACAAGTGTAGTCTTGATCCGTTAGGCTTGGTCATCTAGCTATATACCAATATCTAAAAATACTCATACTCCAGGTGTACCACATAAAACGCCCACCTGCATGGTTGGGGGGAGACCCCAGAAAGGAAACATTTTGGACTCAGGCAATAACAATAAGTTTATAAGGCTGAAGCTTAATCCTATGTCACAGTTATTATGGTTGCTGTTTTGCTGTTTGTTAATTCAGTGAAACTTTTACTAAATGTCTACTTAGGCTAGTTAACCTCTTTGCTAAATAGTGGATATATAGAGATGAATATGAGCCTTGCTCTTGAGAAGTTAGTAGCCAAGTGGAAAAGAAAACATAATAAACCAACAATCAAAAAGTACAAAATAAAATGATCAATGATAAAAGAGCCGGTAGTACAAAGCAAGTGTGGAAGCATAGTGTAGAAGGAGTGATGAACATTCCCAGGGTGATCAAGGAAAGTGTCACAGGTGAAGATGAAAACCTCTATTCTAGCCTGTGAGGCAACAGTTCAGGAACAAAGTATAGGCCTAAACTGCTCCTTCTTGAGGGTGGCAGAAGGTGGGGAAAGTTTAGAAACAACAAGCAGAATCAAGAAATTCCCATGGTATAAAAGACATCCTTATTCCAGTACTTGTGTAAGGAAAGTCGCCAGAAAAAGGATCTGACGTCAAGAAAAGGTTAATTCTTTCTTACAGCAGAATGTCAACTATCAAATGTATAAAGAATAATGGACTTCAGAAAATCATCAATGGATGCTCAAACTAGTAGATAAATGTTTGATGAGAAATACGTTATTTGTATAGTCTCAAAGTATTTCCCCACAAATTACTATTAATCTCAAAGGGAAATATAGTAACTCTGTAATGCAAAAAACAGGAAAACATCACCTTAACCAAGTGATGAACATTAACATCATCAATATTGAGACAAACTGACATCATGTACCTCTTGATAAGATAGAACTAAGGATATAACCTCCCATCTGTGGAATTCCTGCTGAATCTAATCATGAGGAAACATCAGACAAAACCATATTGCAGAATATTCTATAAAGTAACTGATCTATACTCTTCAAGAATGTCAAGATCAAGAAACACAAAGAAAGGCTGAGGGACTATTCCAAGTTAAAGGAAAATAAAGAGCAATAGCAATTAAATGCAACTAACAGCAATGCATGGTCCTGAATTGGAATGTGGACTGGGGAAAACTATAAAGAACATTATTGGACAGTTGATGACATTTGAATGGATTGCAGATTACAGAATTCTAATGTTAAATTTCTTGATTTTGATGACTGTACTTGAGTTATGAAGAGACTAACTCTTAAGAAATACAAACCTACAAATTTAAGTATTTCGGGGTAAAGGACATGATATCTACAACTTTCTCTCAAATGGTTAAGAAACTTAAAAGTTATAAACACCGAGGAAAGGAGAGCAGAAAGAGAATCAACAACAAAGCAAATAGGGAAAAATGTAAACAAGTGGTGAATCTAAGACTTTATACAGGAGTTCGTTTAACTCTTGTAACCTTTTCGTGAATTTGAAATTACATTAGAAGAAAAAGTTACCTAAAAGGGCAGGGGCTAAACACCACACAAGCAATATAAAGGAAAAACGGACTGCTATGTAGTACTTACATTCCCAGTAGATATGACCCTCACATATTTTGCAAACCAGTGTGATCTTAGACTGACCAACACCTTTATCCCTTCCTCTTTAAATCATAGCATACATATTCCCAGCCTCTTGTCTTTGTGAGAATGTACTAAGGAGCTATACAAGGATAGCGGGGGGAGAGGCAAATGTAGATTATAAAAACTGGCTTGATAGTTAACCATAGTAGACATTCCTATTCTGAATTGTGAAATTTTTCTGTATTACAGAATATTTTTAAAAGAAGTAATAAGTGATGAAAGATACAGAATAAATAAAAATAGAGGAAGGCATGTATAATAACAGATTGAAGAGCAGAAAATCTTACACTCAATCACTTCCAAAAATAGCCAAACTTTTGCCCCATTCTTAGAATGAAAACTGAAGACTCACTAATGAAATGGCATGTTTGGGAAGTAATGATTGGCTTACGGCTCCCCTAGGAAAAGACTATCAATTTCAAAAGATAACCTGAGATTATGTATATATAGACATCTATTGTTTGTCCCCCTTTTAGCACTAACTCACAAGCTAAACATTTTACCTGCCTTCTATGAAAATAGCCAGCCCTGGTGGTCTAGTGGTCAAGATTTGGCACTCTCACCACTGTGGCCTGTGTTCATTTCCCGGTCAGAGAATGACACCACCCTTCTGTGGGTTGTCATACTGTGGCAGCTGCCTGTTGCTGTGATGCTGAAGGCTACACCACCAGTATTTCAAATACCAGCAGGGTCACCCATGGTGGACAGTTTTCAGCGGAGCTTCCAGACTAGGACAGACTAGGAAGAAGGACATGGCCACTCGCTCCAAAAAAACTGTGGCTGTGAAAACCCTATGAAGAGCAGTGGAGCACTGTCTGATATAGCACCAGAAGGTGAGAGGATGGCACAAAAAGACTAGACAGGGTTCCATACTACTGTATACACGGTTGCTAGGAGTCTGAATCAACTTGACAGCAATAACAACAACTGTGAAAATATTTTTCAAGAAGGGAAAAAGGCTAGTATTATTCAAGAAACTGCAGACAAAAATAAAAGAGGAAAAGCAGCTGATGTCTTGAACTAAGAACGGAATCTATAAATATCAAATCAGTAACTCCAAAAGAAATAAGAGAATAAGCATCACTCCACTGTAACTAGCACATAAACTGATCCATAATCAATATAGAATGATAAAGTGAATCTAAGCAAAGTGATTTAGAAAATACTACCATCATTGATAATATGCTGAAGAAAACGATCCACTTTCTAAAATGAGCACCATATTGTTTTTCTGTTAAAATCAAAATTTATATTTACTTTTAATTGATGAGTTTTCAACCATTTCAAATGCCGCATCCTTTGTGAAGCTTTCTTATCGTCTTCTCACTGGAGTGTGAACTTTCAGTCTTTGGCATTTTTCTGTTTATTACTAATAAAATTCTTACACTGAAGTAGAACATGTATTTTTTTTTTTTAATCCCCTCTTTTGGATTTTAAGCTCCTACAGGGCAAGAACTGTATTTTACTCAATCTTTCTAGGGTCTAGTACAATGCTTAGTACATAGCATAAACTAATAAATGTCCAATTGAATTACCTGAGTAATCAGCAATTTGAACCATGTAAGACTAATCTGGGAAGACTCCTCTGAAGAGTTAAAAGAATAAATGTTTACACAATATGAAGAATCTGTATTAGAAAGGTGAAGGTGCTATGAAAGCACTCCAGAGAGAAGAATGGAGAGGTAAAGAGAAGAAATGGAGTGAGTGAGAAATGATCAAGGGAAGATAAACAGCTTTGCTTAGATGGATCAGAGTGTATAAGGATAGACATAAATATACCACCTGACAATAAGGGTGGTTAAGCTAACTGATACACAGGAGTACAAGATTTGTAGAAGGTCTCAAAGTTTACGATCATGAGTTTATTTCAAGAGGCTTCCTAGAAGAACAACATAATTAACACAGCACTGAGGACAAAGAGCTTCCCTACTATGGTGTCTGACTTCATAGCTCCTTCCTTATAATTAGGACAATCATAAAATTATCATCTAAACTGGCACACCTTTGAGAGTGAAAGGGAATAATATTAACAACTATGCTAGAAGAGACGTAAACCAGGCCTTGTCCCATGCAAACTGCAATGTATGGGCAACCCACTTATAGCCTACCTTGGTTCTTTCTCAAGGTTCAGCAACAACGAGCAAACAGTATATTCACTTTTTTGCATACTTCTACTACTTACCCAAAGCAAACAGGGTAAATCACAGTTCTATCCAGTTTGCTAATACCTCTCTGTCAAAATCATCATCTCAAGTTACCAATTACTTGATGAATATATGCCATGCAGAAAAGGAATGGGAAGGCTTACCAAAAGCAAAACTTCAGCTCACTGCTTACATATCAAACAAAAGAAAACAAAACCAAAAGAAGTGACAAATCAAAGCACACATTTGTCTGAAATCCCTAGACACAACTACTTTGGAACTAGGGCACTATTGTCAGCAGTAATTACATAAATCAGAAGTCAAATGGACCTTACCTTGGGAACTTTGGGAGGACTCCGTAGAAGAAGAACTACTATCTGTGTAACTCTGCGCTTCTTCTTTTCCCTCCTGAAGAGATGAATTACCAGCCTCTGCCACCCTGGATGCTTGCTGTAATGTTTCTGTGACCAGCTGCCTTGTTTGCTCACTAACAACTGTGGCTTGAAACGTCACTGGTTTGGGTTTAATAAGAACCTAGAAGAAAAGCAGAAATATACCCAGTTTAAATTTTAGAGCACTATTTAAAATGCTAAACTTCTAGGTCATAAACTAATATTTTCCTGACATGGAAAACAGCATTCTGTATGTTTATTATGCTTTGGGCATAGCATTGTTCATCAAAGATTAATTTAATCTATGAATAAATTATAGTCAAGCCACACACAATGTTTAAAGTGGTACATGCCAGATTGCAACAGCCATGATTCTGCTAAGAGCCTTTGCTCCTGTTTTTGACTTCAGGAGTCATTTTACAACCTGTAGGCTATATAGTAGCATGATAGCCATGAGCTAAGGATGGCAGAAAAGAAAGACACAAGAAGTCTAGATTCCTAGTGGAATTTCTGAGCCACAAAATAACAGTCCAGGATTTCCTCCCTCTAAACGTTAAGTAACATAATAAAAATCAAACCCTAATTTGTTTAAGCTACTGTTGTTTGGGTTTCTTTTCATTAGTAACCAGATGAAATTCCTAATTGACACAACTGCACAAAGTAAACTTGCTTGGGACCTAAGTCATCTTTGAATAAATCCCCAGAGCAATAGTGATTTACATAACTATCAGAAGCAATATGGAATATGTGGTAGATCAACTCCCAGCAGGTCAAAACCATAGATACAAAAACAAGTGAAATGGGAAAAAATTTTCAAACTGAACCATTCCACTTCAAAATTTGGACTCTAGGAGGTGACTTCAATTGGGTGCACAGAATAAAAATGTTAACTCACCACATTTATTTTTTATTTCTCCCCATCAAGATTCTAAATCTTTTCAGACTCTTATATTAGTCACCCATTTCCAAGAATTCAAGAATGAAAACATAGGTTATACTATGACTTAGATAATGGAGCAAATGAAATTGTTACAGTTGAAACTTAAGGCAATTTGGACTTATTTCCAATGACAAAACTTGTTTGTTTAGATATATAAACTATTTAGCTGTGATTCTGAGGGAACTGTTTCGAAAGGCAAATTATCAGTTTAGAGGTAAATTAATATCTTTTACAAAAATTCTAGGATAGCATTTCTCAACCATATTCTTAGAAAAGAAGTTAAAGCACCTGCAAATAAACAATAAGATAGCAACGTAAGATGAATCCTGAGCCTCACTGTCCCAGGCAAATTTCCAGAAAAGTTCCCTTATCTTCTATTGGTTGAAAAATGAACAGACCTCTAGCTTCTCCATTATTTAGGTTTCAAGTAAAACAAATTTTATAAGCAAATAAAGTGCTATCAAAAGCCATATTAGCTTATAAAAAATAAATATTTTCCTCTGAGAGATTCTGAATAACTACCACCCTCCTTCAACCATCTACTTCTCAAGTAACAATACATACCTTCAGCAAATTTTATTCCAAGGTGATTCTTTTCCCTAATCTTTGCTCATGATATGACACAAATATTTAGATATCAAAAAAAGAAGTACTGAAAAAAGAAACACAGGTTTTGAAAATAGATGATACAGACCTTCAGTCATAACTTTTAACAATCTGATTTTTTTTTAAAGATTTTATTTTTTTCCTTTTTCTCCCCAAAGCCCCCAAGTACATAGCTGTATATTCTCTGTTGTGGGTCCTTCTAGTTGTGGCATGTGGGACACTGCCTCAGCGTGGTTTGATGAGCAGTGCCATGTCCACGCCCAGGATTCAAACCAACGAAACACTGGGCCGCCTGCATCGGTGCATGTGAACTTAACCACTCGGCCACGGGGCCAGCCCCAACAATCTGATTTTTTAAACATTACTGATCTTTTCATTCAAATTTCTACCTTGGAATTTTAGGAATGTGAAATATACCAGAATCAAGAAAAATCACCATATCTTATTGCATACCTGTGTTTTCCCTTGCTGCCCATAAACAATTTTTGTTGGGATGATTTTAGCTGCTGGTTGTACTGTGGAACCTATTCCTTTTGGTTGAGTTACAATCATTTTGGTGATAGGTCTTGTAGCAGTGATAATAGCTGGCTTTGCTCCTGTTGGCACCGTCTGAATAGTCTTTTCTCCCTAAATTGAAGTCGGCAAATATATGAGATTTATATGCATTTAAATGACAAAAACTACCCTTTTACTAAAAAAATCACAGAAAGATTTTCCCAGGGTGACAGGAAAGGACTGTAAATTATACACAAAGTACAATGATCAAGTATCAAAAATCCTAGACTTAGTTGAAATGATCGCAGGAGACATCTGACCAACTTTCTGTCCAAAGAAGACATTACTTCCTGATGAGTGAATTTTTAAAAATTACCTTACATAAGAACATTTATTATTCTGTCCCATTCATAGAATACGCATATTAAAATAGTCAGAAAATTGTGGAAGAATATATACTAAAATGTTAAGAATAATTATCTCTAAGAGTTGGTATTATAGGTCTTGCTCGCCTATATTCATCTTTATTTTCTAATTTATCTGAAATAAACATTTATATAATAAAAAAAAAAACTAATGTGCATTATACCAATAGCTAAATGTGTACTTTCAAAATAAACTTCCTAAGTTCCCCAAATATGAAATTCTAAGAATATGCAGCAGAATATCTATGTGAAAAAGTATGGGCAAGAGATGAAATCAGCAAAAATATTAACATTCCTTCTGAGGTTACAAGGGAAATTATGAAGGAAAAATTTAGGACATTTCCCACATTTTACTACTAGTATGTTACTAATATCACTTTAGTCTATTAACTAGATAACTTAAGCCCATTAACTTTTCACCATTTTCTCCATTTTCATCTGCTTTTTCTTAAGCACTATTCTGTGGTCATTTATAGAGTCAATACCTGAGCTTAACTAAATTAAATTAAAATACAGTGATTTTACTAAATTGTTAGAATTAAAAAAATTAAAATCCATAAAATTAAGAAGAAAGGATCTGAAATTTTTCACCTTATCAGTTTTTCTTAATTTTTAGTCATTATGATCTAAATGTGTGGCCACTTAAACTTAGCAGCCAGTAAAAACAAGCACCCAGGTGAGCTGGCAAAAAGGTAATCACTCTATGAATTTAGAGCTGAATATGATGACAAAAATCACAAGTTTAACTACCTGCTGTAATCATCTAAGGAAAACATGAAGTGTCTGCCATCACGTGATTACTTATTTTAATACAGTTAAACACTCTTCACAGCAGCATTTCTGGAAACAGCTCAAGTTCATTTGCGAAGAGCTGCTAGTTTGCAAGTGGGCATGTCTATCTATTAAATAGCTGGGTGGGCCGTATCCAACTTTAATGACCCATTCAACGCTGATCAAAACCAACTAGCAGGGTATTTTTTGAAAAAGTTCTTCTAATGCATGTGTGTGAGCAGGCACAGGTGACCAAGTTGTGAGTACAGGTGCATGCACATATGTGGTGAAGAGGATGGTGTTATACTGTGATCTGCTTGTTTTACTATCACTTCCTGTGTCAAACTATTGCTACTAGATATATATCTAGCAGCTAGTATTCACTTGTGACTCTGAGATTTATGTGACCATAGGACCTAGGGTACATGGTATCCTCTCTTATTTATCAAGTTCTATAAAATTACAAACCAGACTTTAAAGGGTTCTGAAAATCTGAATTCTAATCCTGGCTTTACTTTTGGCTTACTATGTAAACTCAGGCTAGGAATAATCTATGTTTTCCAACGTATGAAAAAAATCGAATGCTGGAGCCCTACCAACATTGTAAAGACTATGATGCCTATGAAGCTACTAGAGATCTACTACAATGCAGTATAGCATTCTTTTTTCTAGCAAAGTAGGGACATTACTAAGCCTAAATAATTAATTACCAAGAACGATGACAATAAGAGTAAAACCATTTGTTGAGGACTTCCTATGTGCCAGGCACTGTCTTAAGCACTTTCAAAAGAGCTACCAGTTACTGAACAAACTCACTGGTAGAGATCATCCTCCTCAAAGTACAAATGAAGAAATTACAGATGAGAGAAGTTGAATAAGCCAAAGTCAAACAACTACTATACTGAGAGACAAAAACCAGGTTTGTCTAACTCCAAACCTCTTAACAACTGCCTTCAGAACTATAAATGAATCTGTTATTTTTTTTTACTAGCTCAAAGAGATAAAACTGAAAAGTAACAAATCCCTGTCAATTAATTTAGTCTTACTCCCAAATATTTCTCTTTGCTCAGCCTTAGCCAAATACTACGTTGGTATCTACTGGCCATAAGCAGGAATAAAACTGTCCTCTAACAGAGATCTTCCTGTAGGTAAGGCAGTGGCATCCGTCATCTGGACCAAGCCAAACATCTAAACCATGCTTATAAGCAACCTAGCTATGAAAAACATGTTTTAGAAATTACTGTGAAAAACGGCATCAATAGGTGGTGTTTTTACAGTTATTACATCACAGTAGTGGTAAACCAAGCCATTCTGGCCATTACGGGGTTAGGAAGTCCTTAGGCAAATATTTGGATAGCTGGTCTTTAAAATCCTCAACGGATTGCTGAGTCTGCAGTTCAAGCTCTTACTTACTCCAGCATTTAGCAATGTTGTGACAACGTTTTTGCCCGGGAGGCCTTGAATGGTCGTTCCTTTTCCTGTAGTCTTTTGCACAACAATCACATTGGGCTTGGAAGTCATTGGGATTGTAGTGATTTTGGTAGTCGTTCCTTAGAGAAGGGGGGAGAAAAGGAGGCCTGAGTTAAGGACTAGTGATATTTGGTTATTTCTGTTTATGTTGTACACAGTTAATACATGTAGTCAGTCATCCCTAGATGACATGAAGGCTGTCATGAGGATGAAAATGAAGGCCTGGAATCGTAAATTACAAGTTGTCCCAGAATGAGAGAACATTAAGAAGAATTGAATCTTGCAGCAGTCATCTTTCTGGAACCTGAGGACCTACACAGCAAACTGAGAATCTAAAAATATCACTATTAGTTTCCCCATCAATATTTTTCTCCTGACTACTTAATTGGAACAAATCAGAATCTCGATTCCATGACAAGTATTTCCCCTAAACCCAGTATTATATCTATGTGACTAGTGGTATGGTGAAACTCTTCAAAAAAAGAACATAAGAAAGAGGTAAATACTTATCAAAATTCACATAACACTACACTCTGGAGAAAATGTATGAAAATAAATAAGCCATGTATTTTTGTCTGTGATCAAAAAAGACAAAACAAACACTCACTCACAGATTAAACGTGCACTCTGGTGACTTGCAGCACTCGGGGCAGTCTGAGGTGACACTCTAATTTATAAATTTATATTTTCAACCATTGAGATCTACTTAGTAGATCCATTATCTATTGATTCAAACATATTATCTCACCCTCTTTCCCACATCCCTCCACAATGTACTTCTCTTCTACCTATCAAATCTACCTACCTATCAAAGTTATACCTTATATTCTTCTAATTGTCCAACTTGGAAATCCTTACGCAAATCTCTGATTCTCGCCTTCTCTTCACTCTCTGTATCCCCAACAAAATGAAAGCCCCTTGAGCTCCACACTGTATCTTTTCATGTCACTGATTACTCAGTGCTTAGCACATAGTATATGGCAATTACTCAGTAATAGTTGTTCAATGAGTATGTGAATGAACTCAATTTGTCACCAACCTATGTCTTCTTTCAAAATTTTACCCATGTCAACTCAACAGACAGACCCTCATCTTTTCTGGCTTCCCATATTTTCTATTTCAAGTTCCTCTATCATGCAAATAGCTCTGATGGTCTCTGTCACATCAAACATCCTAAAAAAACTAATTTCATCATGTCAAGAACCCAGAACATGTGAAACTGGTCAAAAACCTTCCTAACCTCTGTTGTAACTTCCTAATCCCTATAGTAATCCCCTAGTTCTAACTTCCCCTCTTGAGTTTCAAAATCCTTTATGATCTGGCCCTTAATCTACCAATTTTATCTTATTTGTTCCTACTCCACAATACACACCATGAACTCTAGTCTAACAAGTAACTTCTTTACTATACAGCTTCCTATTACCAACCACACAAAACCCAAACTCCTCTGCTTAGCTTTCCAGGTTCCGTCAGACTTTAATTTTGAGGATTATCCAGATACCTCTCCTTCAGTGTGCTGGTTTCCACATTGGTGCTTGAGGATACCAATCTCAATGCTACTTTTGTGCCTGTAATTTCCTCTGTCTACGAAAACAGGCAAGTCATTTTTCTTTTATAGGCTTGCATATCATTTATCAGATGACTAAGCACAAAACAGCTACTCATTAAAAACAGGACTGATTAATATATTCTCAAGAAGAAAAATTAAAATTCTATTATTTTCTACTGGAAAATCTTAGCATTTCTTACTAGAGTTTTAGAAATAAGATTGTACTAAGAATAAGAATATTCTAATTATATGTCAGTTTTTGGCAATCTTGTTAAAATATCTTTATATCTGCCGTCATCTAACGTCTCACTAGCCCATGGTAACACACTCAGGTTACATAAAAAAGCACTTTTATCCATAGAACAGCTTCTAAATGTTTTTCCACTTTACCTTTAGTCCCTGAATAGTGAGCTGTTAAGAGCCACAAAAACAAAAATCAACTTTAACTCTTAATTAATTCCAAACCCTCATATGCGATTATGATGCCTCCTTTGATAATGCAGCCTCACCAAATATTTGGTTAATAAAAAAGTGTTTTTAGAAAGTAAACATTAAAAACTACCTCAAGAAAATGTAAACTATGCTTTAACTCTAGGACTACTTTTTGGACAAAACTTGCTTAACAAGTGAATTATATCTACGAAAATGTCTAATCATTTCCATGACAGACGTGTGTCAATTTACGAGACAGGTGCAAACCAAGTTTATCAGCTTAACAAAATTGGGGAGGGGGGACTGTTAGAAAACAGAAGAAAAAGGCACAGCATGAGGAAAAGTAAGTACAGCATTATATTAAAATAGAATACAATTTATGACGAGAATCAGCAAATTATAAAAGTCTAAAATTCCAGTGAGAATGTTTCTGTATCTCAGGTGATACCTATGTTATATTGAAGAAAGACATATTACTCATCTTTTTAAAAAGGTCTTCCTCTGTGCTTCCATAGTATTCAGTCTACAGTTCTCATGTTAGAAGAGAAGATACACAAGTCCATTTGTTTAGCATTCTTTAGGGTAGAGAATGCAGCACATGTGCATCCCTAGGTATCACAGCAACCAGCCCAGTGTCTGCTTTATACCATAGCAAAGAACCCACCTCTACATACAGTCTTTACTTACAAAGAGTCAAGATACAATGGGTGCAAATAACTGTGAATCACATTTGGATCATGGGCTATGATACTGATGCATTTCAGAGATTCCTACTTAAAAATAAGATGCCCATAAAAGTCTGAGCATCATGGCAGGGAGGCTTAAAGAATGCAAATTTACTGGCCTAGATTTTACTATTCACAGATTCTTAAATCACTCTGACAATCCTGGTCTTTTGGGTAATGTTTTACATTGCTTTGCTCAAAGAATGAGCGAATGAATGAATGAAAAATATATAAACACTAGCTCCTTGCCTGGACACTGTACTAAGATCAAGAGAATCAAAATCAAGTCTTGCCATTGTCACAGGTTCTCATGTCCTTAGAGGCAAGACAATCAGTTCATCTCTGGTGGAGCCAATCTTCTGCTTATATAAACAGGCATGATTCTTTAACCAATCCTCAATGAAGCTCACAAAAAAATTTACATATCTGATAGTTCTGTTCGACTGAGTTAAATAACTGCAAAAACAGTCAGGCCTTCCATTTAATTGCTTACTCTAATAAAAAGAAAAACCTGACCTTTCTAGAAAGCACTCTGGAAGCATGAACTTGCCTTCTAGGATATTATACGAAGGAAGAACTTCACATAATTTATGTATAATGATGTTCATCACAGGATTATTTCTAACGACAAAAAAATTCTAAGCAACCTAAAACATTCAACAATGAGAAAATGGCTAAATCATGGTACATCGTATGAGGGAACACTGCGTAGCCATTAAGTGGGGTCAGGGGAGGTTTCAAAATACATTTAGTGGAATGGGAAATAATATTATCATATGAAAAAAGGATAACTGATTAGGTTAAATCTCAACTTAATTTTAAAAAATATATACACACATTTATCAAAAAAATTAATAGAAAAAGGACTAAATGGAAATATTACACTTAAATTTTAACATATTTCTCTGGATGGTGAAAATTATAAATTTTTAATTTTCTTTGTACCTTTCTGTATTTTCCAAATTCCCCACAATGAGGGATTTTTTCTTTTTTAAAGCCTTATTCTTAGAGCTAGATGCTTGAGTGTACTTTAAGAAAAGCACTTCTTTTTTGTTGAGGGCAGGGGGCACAGACTCTAGAATCCAGCATCTGATCATGGATGAAGGCAGAAAACTGTTTAAATTTATCCAACCAGGCTTACCAGTTTACTGTGAATAGACAACCAGTGAAACTACTGTGAAAACTAATAAACTAACCTATAATCCCAGTATCATGGAGATATTCTAAGAGAACTGTCCTTATAAAATATATTGACATGTAACATAAAGATCAGTTTACAGCAGTCGGAAATGAGAGAATTTCTTTAGAATAAAAGTGTCAAACAGTGAAGCAGAGGTAGAGACAAAATGAACTCCCTGCAATTCTGAATAAAGTTGTTTCAGCTGTGTGTCAAGTATACCTTACAGTGCTGGAAAAGTTTAAGAACTCTTCTCATTTACATCCAGACACTTGAAACAGCAACTAATCATGAGTTGCTTTATATTTAAATACAAAGGTGGATAAAATGCATACATGTGTAGGGTATATATCTCACCACCTCTTTGATTCTAGGAAAACGTGCTTGCTGGTATTGCTCTACCCTGGTACAAAGCAACTAAATCATAAATAAGCTCTGAAAACAGAGACCTCGCGACATCTAGACATTCTTTCAAGCTATATGGTATTATGAATTCATATATAAGTAAAGAAAAACTCTTATGGTCATAAAAAACTACGTACAAATGAAAAACATGATGACTTTTTGAAAAATGCTTTAGTATCTGCTCTTTACTATTTAAAGATATTGTCAGGTAATAAATTATAATTTGAGTTTTAACTGTGTTATTTAAAATATCCTCTTAAAAGCTGGAGTATGATGATTCTTTCCCTACTGGTTTCACCCTCCTCATTTGGCAAATGTTGGATTTTCTCACTTACATTTAAAAGTAGAGCCAAAATTAGCAGCTTTAAATATAGAGCTTTATGCCAATACCATGCCCTGCTTTGTTTTTTTTCACTCCCTGAGTTATCAGCAACATCATATTACTGCCAGGAACTTCAATCCTTTCACTTTAAAATGTTAGAACAACTCACCTGGGGCATACAAAATACGGCTAGTCTACAAAAATAGTAGACAAAGTCCACAGGGCTTGCCTGATCAGAGATTATTTACATCATTTTAATTAAAAAATAATAATCAACGAAAACGGATGCAATGTTAACATTCCACTTCAGGGTCCACAATCCAAATACTGCAGGAATTAATGAGCCAATAAAAATTAGGTAGGGTTCTAAAATACCGATAAATACTAGCCTTCACTAGCCAAGTAAAGTATTTTTAAAAAGTAAACAGTCAATATAAATGGTGAAAAGCAAATAAATATATTCAAGTATTTTTATTTTTAATAAGCTAAAGTGACATTAGTAATTGAAATTATGAGATATAGTCCCTCAGATATATTTGGATGAATAAATACTAATTCTGCCACTATCTAGCTTCTGTGGTCTTAGGTTGATTTCATCTCTCCAAACTTAAATCTGTCTGTGTCTGGAAACTGAGGATTATACCAAGTATTTTAGAGTTATGATGTCTGAATGGATTGACAAATGGGAGAATATTTTGTAAATGAAAAATCTCTATGCAAATGTAAACCATAATCTTTCCATTCTGATTAAAAGCAACTAAATATTCTTTCTATGTTAAAACTATCAAAAGCTTAATATGTGAAGATTTAATACCAGAACTGAAAAACTATACTTGATTACTAAATGTCAGGGCTAAAAACAAAGCTCTAGATTTCTAAGAAGAAAATTGAGATGGAACAGAATCCTTCAAAAGTGAAATGTTTTTTTCCTCTTACTGGTCACCTATACCTTTAACATATTTTGTATATACCTACCAGAAACTATATTACTGCTAATTATCTTGCCCCCCAAGGTAGCTAATGATTTGGGTACTACTGTAATGATGCTACCACTGGTAGTTTTCACATAGGTTGCAGCTCCAGGGGTTGCAGCCATCCGACCTATGGATGGGCTCACTGTTGGCCGGGTATAGGTTGCCTGTGTGCCTATAAAAAGGGAAAAGCCAAAAAGAAAAACTTGTCATTACTTACATAAGAATGACAATTTATACAGTTTAACTATAATTCAATGTAATCTACATTGCCTAACTTGAAAATGGAATTTCAAGGTGTCAAGACATTAAGTAACAATTTACAGCCAGTTTTCAATGCACATAGCAAGAACTACAGCCAAGTCAGTTTGAATTAATTTTACACATAAAATTTTGTGATGTGTTGCATCAAATTACTAACCCCAAGAAAAAGTATAACTCTGTTCCCTTCTTCTACTACCCTTCTTCTACTAGTTTTATGCCAAAAGAAACTTAAATTTAATCATCTGTCCTGCCAGAGAATTTTAGATATTTCTGTTATAGATTTTAAGGTTTCTGCATCTGTTTTATGCTATCTCAGTGCCAAACCCAATGTCAGCACTCAGCAAATAACGCAGTATTGTTTGCCTGAAGTTTTATAAACTTTTACTGTTTTGTACTCTGCTACCCTCTAAATATATTTCCATCTTTTAAAGAGTTATTCCATCATTTTACTAGAGATTAAAGTTGAAGCTGCCAAGAGTTGCCAGGAATATTTCTCTGTAGCCTAAAAAGTTCACTATTTACATATTTCCTCAACTTTAACTGACCCGTTATTTTTCCTTATGTCTCTCAAAGGATTTTACACTCTTCCCCAGTATTTCTAGAACGTTTTTCTTTTCCCAAACAGGAATTAAAAACTAACCAGATGAGCCTGTTGTAGTTTCCTACAAATCTAGTAACTCAGAAATATTATTCCTAAACTAAGAATTACTACTCTTGGGGAGAATGAACATGACTAAGATAACACCTTCTTCAACTGAAAAAAATTTTTTCATGATCATTAGATTCAGAGGTCACTGATAACAATTTTCAACAACTCCCTACCCCCAAAAATGCTTTTAGCAAGTTATTCACTGTTTTAAAATATAATCACTACCCAAAAAAGGGAGGAGGGGAAGAACATTAAGTAGCATTAGTTTAAATTGGTTACAAATACAGCTGAATCAGAAAAAAATCTACTGCAAAGTAAATACACTATAAAGATACACAGTTTGAATCAACCGAATTAAACTGAAAAATTCAACTTAAGCTTTTCTTTTAAAAATAGAAACACACCTTAATATAAATACATAAGCATAGATACATTATTACTTTTTACTACTACCTTTGTACCAAATGGAGGAAAGTTTTGGGGGAAGTATGATAGATTTAATACAAGAATAACAGTGTTTTAAAAGCACAGGCTTTGCATAGAGACAGAAAGTAGAATGGTGATTGCCAGGGACTGGGGGAAGTTGGGAATGGAGAGTTACTATCTGGTGGGTACAGAGTTTCAGATTGTGAAGATGAAAAAGTTCTGGATGGTTGCAAAATAATGTGAATGCACACAGTTTAATCTGAGTTCAAATCCCAGTTCTTTTATTGGCAGTGTGACCTTGGGCAACCTGCTCAACGTCTCTGTTTTGTCACTGAAAATGGAGATACTAAAGCCCAAGGGAGATTAAGTGTAATGTTTATACAGACCTTTACATACTGGACAATAGACAATAGCTTGTAAACTTGAAACAGGTATCATTTTTCACTATTTAGAGTCTATCATCTAAATACTGACCCTCTTTAATAAGTTTGGTAAGAGTTATACAAATTTAAAATATTGCTAATGGCTAATTCTAATTTTAATTAGTAGCAATAGCTATTGAGCTCTCTGCTGGGCACTTTACATACCTGATTTCATTTAATACTTACGATAACTTTACGGTATAGGTATTATTATCCCAATTAAATGACAAGGTAAAAGATTTAGAAGGATTAAGTAACCAGCTCAAGGTCACAGAGGGTGGTACTATTTAAAATGTTCTAAACCGTCACTTCCTTGGAGATAGCATGGTTGCTCTCACATCTGGGCAAAATGGCATCTTGTGCGTCCCTCAGTCTGAGTAATGCTTATTACTATACTGTAATGTAACACACTCTCAACCTAATCAGAGTGAGATCCTTGTGGGCTGGGACTATATTTTCATTCATACAACAAAACCCGACTAGCTGTGCATATATATGGTGAATAAAACAGACATGGTCCTTTATCCTCATGGAGCTCATGGTCTAATAAGGTAAACAACATTCAACAAATCAACAAACAAGTAGCTAAATAATTAGAAATTGTAGTACATGCTATAAAGGAAAAGAACAGAGGACTGTGATAACAATGAAAGAGGGCTAATTTCAGTTGGGGGGGTGGGGGACGTCAAGAAAGGCCTCTTTGAAGAATTGTCTCATTAATCTCCACTGTCAAGCACACTGCTGGTCAGAGAAATTACTCAATGAATATATGATGAATGAACAGACTCATGCTCAAGAAAACTTACCAGTAGGAGTGGTTACCAGTTTAGTTGTCATAATTGCACCATTACTGCTAACCACCATAATAGGGGAATTGCTACTGGTGGGCAGAGTTGCTGTTACTGGTTTGGGTAAGATTTTACTTGGTTGAACTTGTTGTGTGATGATTTTAACACCTTTAAAAGAAGAAAGATAAATCTCAGTACAAATTATTTTTAAAAACATGTGCCTTATACCAACCCAAGAGGGCAGTAGTTACACACATTTACTCAGTCCTCCTTAAAGAGCAGCTTTTTTCCATATTGATGAAACTCTAAATTTTTATTCCTTAAATTCCTATCTTTCATAATTTCTCTCATTTAGGAATACAATTAAAACACTACAGAAGCTATTAACAAGTTCTTAGAAAAACCCAATCTTTTGTCTAAGATCATGTGATATAAGAGCTTTCAAACCAAATTAGCCACTGACCTGAACTTTCATAGACAAATAATCTGTTCCATGCAAATACTTGGGATGAGAGGATTAGAATAAGAAGTCAAAAACAAAAGTTAATGTAGCTTTTATATATTCCCAACTACACCAAAGGTTTCTCTAACCTCTTAAATTATAAAGGCTGGTGAGAACTATAAAGAGCAAGAACATTTTCTTTTTGAACGTTTATTTCTAAAGTGACTTTTTAAAAAAGTATTTTTAACAGCTCACTTTGTCAATACAAAATAAAGCATACATTATTATTGCACCTACATGAAATATGCATGTGGATAAGAATTTGAAGGCAATATGTAAAAATAAAATAAAAATGTTAGGGTAGTGATGTTATGAAGTTTTTTTACATTTTTCAAAAATTTTATTTAAATGTTATAATTGGTACATTGACTTTCCAAATGTAAAAACCCCTTTAAAAGAAATCTCTCATGCTAACTTTAAATTTAAGTACTCATAATTATTAACTGAGTAAGGAAATTTTTGGTAAAACTTTTTCCACCATTAACTTCACTGAAATAATTCATGGGATAGAATATATTGCCATAGACAACTTAAAATTTTATTACTTTTTTGGATGGTGATTTAGGTTAAGACATTAGAAAACAAACAAATATATTTAATAGCCTTAAATAATCTTAAATTTCTTGTAGTCAACAAATAAGTTAAAAATATGACATCCAGGTATAATTAGGCAAATTATTTGATCTCTATGACTCAGCTTTCTCATTCATAAAATAAACATACCGTTAGTATATACCTAGAAGGGCTATTGTGAAGATTAAATAAATCAAAATTGTAAAGTACCTAATACATAGCAAGATTGAATAAAAGTATTATTGTAGAAATTAAGAAATTCTGATTATAATAAATCATAAATAGTGAAGTTGTAGGGGAAAATGATTTCTAGTATTATCTCATTAATGAATTACAATAACGCTTAAGGCACGCAAAAAGAAGCCCCCAAAGAAATAACTACAGAAAGAGAAAAAAATTAAGGGAATCATAAGAAACTACTTTGCTCAGTCATATGCAAATAAGTTGAAAATCTGGATCAAATAGCTCATCTTCTAGAAAAATACTTTTTATCGAAATTGACCTCAGAAAAGAGACCTACCTAAAGAGACAAATTTTGTCAAAACAAATTTTTAAGAGCTCCTCCCCCTTTGCCAAAAAACAGCAACCCAGATAGTTTCACAGGACAGTTCTATAATCCTTTAAAAAGAAGACAATTCCAACATATTTTGAACCATTTCTCTTAAAAGTTCTCATCACAAGAAAAAAAATTTTTGTAACTGTGTGATAATGAATGTTAACTAAACTTATTGGGGTAATAATCATCTAATATATACATATATCAAATCATTATGTTGTATACCTAAAACTAATACAATGTTATATGTCAATTATATCTCAATTAAAAACAAACAAAAACCATCCAGAGATCTGTTTTGACAAGAGAGCATGAGGAGCTCTGCTAATCCACCGACCCAATGAGAATGGTGAAAATGATAAAAGAACAACCAATAAAAAACTCTGGAAATAGTCCCAAGGAAAATTAAGAAACATCTATTCAAGAATATGTAGAAAAGTTTGGTAAGAAAGACAAGATCTTGGGCCAGCCTGGTGACATAGCTGTTAAGTTCGTGTGCTCTGTTTCAGCGGCCTGGGGTTTGCTTATCAAGCCATGGTGTGGCAGGCATCCCACATATAAAGTAGAGGAAGATGGGCAGGGATATTAGCTCAGGGCCAATATTCCTCTTTGCTGAGGAAGATTGGCCACAGATGTTAGCTCAGGGCTAATCTTCCTTAAAAAAAAAAAAAAAAAGGCAAGATCTGCAGTATTTAAACTAAGACCCATACCTCCTTCCCCCCAAGTAAGGCAAAGACTTCTCTTCGGACTGCTGCAATCAAGAACACAGGGCTTCCTCTTACTCCAGCTCCCAGATGGAGGGCTTTCTTCTGAGGAGCAGTAGGACTTCAGCTTATCTCATCCTGCCCCTATGTACCTTTTGCTAAGGCTAAGTCCCAGAAAAGTGCAATCAAGACGTGGGGGCTCCCTTCTTCTGCCCAGGCCCCAATTTATGGAATAAAGGCTCTACCTTGGGCATGGCACTGCTGAGAATACTGAGGTTTTGATCAACATTGCCCTGGCTTGTGAGGCAGTGGCTCTACCACCAAGACAAGCAAATCTGGAGGATCTCACGCGGCTGCTCATCCTCCCGCTCATACCTTCACTGAGTGCTCAGCTCCTAGAGCTGAGGAGTCATTCAGAAAGAAGCTTGCCACTGACCCTATCCCAAGAGCTCCAGAGCTGTGTGAGAGTAGAAACAGGTCAGAGAACAGATAGCTCCTAAGCTCTTTGGAAAGCGACTGACTTCATTTGTCAGAGAGCATGAAGTTCAAGCCTAAGGGCACTGTCAAGAATAATGGAGGATGTGATGAAAAGCAACTGGAAGGAGATTCATGGATTTAACAAAGACACATTCTAGAATATAGCCAGATAGTTTGCAGGAGAGAACTGAGGAATAGGGAAGCTGAGAAGAACTCTCCTGTGGTCAGAACGAATATCAAAAATAGACTTCTGAAACTATTACTTCAAAGAAGCCAAAATTTGGTTTGTAGAGCAATTTATGCTCCAGGGCATTGTTGAAAACAATAGAGAAATCAGTTATTAGAGTTTTAATGGCTGGGTGTGGTCAGGGAAGAAGAGGAAGAGAGCCATACCAACATCACTGTCATCTCAGAATGACTGTGGGCATACCCAGAGCTGTACCTCCCTGAGGAACAACATCAGAGATTTAACTGCTAAAATAATTGATCTAGTAACTAAAAAACAAATAACCAAGCAAATAACAACAACAAATCTGGGGTGGGGGGGCCAGGGGAAGACCAGTACCCAAGTACAATATCTAATATCAAATATCTAAAATATCAATATAAATACCAAAAATGTGCAGTTTCCAACAAAAACATTAGAAGGCATGTAAACAGGAAAATATGACCCAAACACTGGGAAAAAAGGAGGCAACAGAAACTGCCTGTGAGAGCAATCAGATGTCAGGTTTAACAAAAAAGAAATCTAAATAGAATTAAATATCAGATTATCTCTTCAAACGGCCCCTCTAAAGATAATTCAAATCAAATCTGGTGGGCCAGCCCCAGTGGCCTAGTGGTTAAATTCGGCGCGCTCCACTTTGGCATTCTGGTTTCGGTTACTGGGAGTGGACCTACACCACTCAACGGCAGCCACGCCGTTGTGGCGATCCACATACAAAATAGAGGGAGACTGGCACAGATGTTGGCTCAGGGCTAATCTTCCTCAAGCAAAAAAGAAGAAGATTGGCAGCAGATGTTAGCTCAGGGCTAACCCTTCTCACAAAAAAAACAAACAAAAACAACTTCAAGGTAGCTATCACAAATATGTTTACAGAACTAAAGGAAAACATGATTATAGAAGTAAAAGGGTATGGTGACAAAGCTGCATCAAATCGAGAATATTAATAAAGCAATAGGAATTACAAAAAAGAACTAAATGGAAAATCTGGAGTTGAAAAGTATAATAACTGAAATAGCAAATTCACTAGAGGGGCTCAAAAGTAGATTGGCTTTCAAACTGGCAGAAGAAAGAATTAGCAAATTTGAAAATAGATCAATAGAGATTATGCAAGCCAAAGAATGGAGAGAAAAAAGAATGAAGAAAAATGAACAGAGCTTCAGAGAAATGTGGAACACCATTAAGTGCACCAACACACTTGTACTGGAACTACCGAAAGGAAGAAACAGAATAAAGAAGAAATATTCAAAGAAATAACGGCTGAAATGTCTCAAATTTATTGAAAAGCAATAACTTACACATCCAGGAAGCTCAACAAACTCCAAATAGGATGAACACAGTGATGCACAAACAGATACATCATACTAAAAATGCTAAAAGTCGAAGACAAGGAGAAAATCTTGAAAGCAGCAAGAGAAAAGCAACATCACTTACAAGGGAACTGCACTGAGATTAACAACTGACTTCACAGTGGAAACAATGAAGGCCAGCAGGCAGTAGGATAATCTATTCAAAGTGCTCAAAAAAACCCAAAAAACTGTCAAGCAAGAATCTTTCAAAACAACAGGGGAAACAAAGTCTTTGCCAGAAAAACAAAAATGGAGAGAATCTGTTGCTAGCACATCTCATTACAAAACAAGCATTAATGGAAGTTTCATGAACAGAAAGAACAAATAACAAAATAATGATGTCTTCTCTTGCCAGTTATATTCAACATTTTACTAGAGCTTTTTTTTTTTTTTGAGGAAAATTAGCCCTGAGCTAACATCTGCTGCCAATCCTCCTCCTTTTGCTGAGGAAGACTGGCCCTGAGCTAACATCCGTGCCCGTCTTCCTCCACTTTGTATGTGGGGCGCCTATCACAGCATGGCTTGCCAAGCAGTGCCATGTCCGCACCTGGGGTCTGAACCGGTGAACCCCGGGGCGCCGAAGTGGAATGTGCACACTTAACCGGTGCGCTACCGGGCTGGCCCTACTAGAGCTTCTAGTCAGGGAAATAAGCAAAGAAAAAGCAATACAGGCATCTAGATTATAACAGAAGAAATTATCTCTATTTGCAAATAACGTATCTTTTACATAGAAAATCCTAAGGAATTTGAAACTATCAGAACTAAAAAACAAGTTCAGCAAAGT